GGAGCGCATAGACAGCAATAGGAACAAATGCTCCTGCAGGAATCGTGTAGTTCTCTGTAATTCAAGTATAAATTATCTGCGAGAAAGTCAAAAGATAATAATGATGTTGCGTCATCATCAGTTAGTGACGTAGACCGTTACGTCATAATTAGAATGCTATTGGATTCTATTTACAGCATACTTCGGATATGCATATGCTATTGGCAATTCAGACATACTTACACAGGACTTGTCTTGACTAACTTCTAAACAAGGTATGGTGTACCGTCCTTCCTTTTTGCACGACTTTGCCTTCTGTTAATCATTTAAAGCACACTGATTACTACAGACCTTGCATTCTTGTTTTTTTTCATTTTCTATTTTTGAATAAAATAAATAGGGACTATTTGCCTAAGTAGCGTGATTAGTTGCTCTTTTTATTGGAGTGGCTGTGTTTTCTCTGTGTAGCAGTAACTGAATTTCTAAATATTATTCAGACAAACGAAACTCGGACCGCTATCTAGAGATCAGCTCCATCCGTAAGATCCTGTGACCGGCCAAATCTTTCAAGTTTTCCCCCGTAATTTTCCTCGGAACAAGAGCAGTTGCTGACCTGCCAGGCAAATTCGGTATTGCCGCACCTATCCAGATGTTAACATCAAATTTTCGCCCAANCCCCCGTTTTCATATGTCCTCATACCATGCACTTCCCATGACGTGAGGAAAGAAGTTTTAGGCACATGGAAAACTTCAGGTAAAATTATAATTTTGTATATTTTAACCATCTATGCAGCAGGCTGTATCATAAAACATTCTGAATTGAATGGTACCAAGACTCCCCGAATTTCTTCTTCTCGCAAATATTTGAACTTTGCCACATTTTGAAAGGGCCTGTTAATTTTTCTTATGAAAAGACGTCCTTCGTTGTTGACGAGGTGATGTAAACTGTCCGTGTTCTCATATGTTTCAATTCTCAGTAAAATGCGCAGTGGATTCCTTCTAGTCCACTAACTGACATGAAGGTTGAAGAGGTGTGTACGTCGTAATAGGGCCTTAGTGGGCTCCCACCCACAGTTCATCTGAAACCTGTACTCCTTGCCATCCTTCTCACGCGAAACACAGGAGCCTGGTCTTGAAAAACATTCAATACTTACTTTTTACTAGCTTTACTTTTAAACGAACCACTTCACTAGTGTAGATACAGGTAATTGGAAGAGGAAATGCTTTAAGAAGTGGATCTGTAAGTTGGTTGCCCAGTATGTTTACTTCGAGAGACCCAGTAAGGGTCCTCACACCACACTCTCCTTCACTAAATCCTCACATTTCTTCTCAGGGGTTCAACGGTATAATCACACATGGAGCTGAGCCCTTCTCAAGAAGTCGCCATTGTGGGCTACTCATAATCTTCACAGAATTTTATGGAACCCGAAGGTTCATTACCGTGTTCACAAGAGCTATCCACCGGTCCCTATTCTGAACCTGATCAATCCAATCCATAACATCACATACTTTCTCTCTAAGATCCATTTTAATATTGTCCACCCACCTACGTCTTGGTCTTCCCAGTAGTATCTTTCCTTCTGCATTTCCAACCAATGTTCTATATTCATTCCTCATCTCCCCCATTCGTGCTACATGTCCTGTCCATCTCATCCTCCTATACTTGAGCATTCTAATTATACTTGGAGAAGAGTATAAGTTATGAAGCTCCTCATTATGCAATTTTCTCCAACCTCCTGCCACTTCGCCTCTCTTCGGTCCAAATATTCTCCTGAACACCCTGTTCCTTGAGAGAAGAATATTGCATAAAATTTTCTACGAAGATGATAGCAGGGATAAGCCACCATAATAACTACACTCAGTTTTATCACCCTTCTTGTGAACTGGTAAAATAATAGACTCCTTCTACTGGTAAAGTAATTTTGCATTATTCCAAATAGAATTAATTAGCTTATGGAACTTAGAGCATAATATTTCGTCTCCTGCTTGAATCAGTTCTACCGGAATTTGATTACGACCTGCCGATTTATACTTTTTAAATTTTACAAAAGCAATTTTAACCTCAAATCGGCTTCGATCAGGTACTATAGACTCAACTCTATGTATTTCTATCTGCCTAACATCACTGACCCTATGTACATTCAATAACTGAGAGAAGTAATTCTTCCATCTATACAAAATGTTGTGGGAATCTGCAAGCAGATCACCACTCTCATCTTTCAGTAAGTTACTGCTAGTCTGATAATTCTCTTAAAGACATTTTATTCCTCTATACATGTCTCTTCTTGATGGTTCTATTTCTAACTTCCGTCCTTTTCAGGTTTTAAATGCAATTAATCCCTTGGGGCATAACGGGTGTATAATCTTGATTAAACTGGGTAAAATCACGGTATAAATTACGAGGAAAGCTCCCTGTTGTTCTGTCCCGTATGCTGAACTATTTACATTTCAAAAGCTGCACCTATGTTTTCTCTATACCACAAAATATGGAGAAAGAATAGTTATTAACAAAGGCGACGAAACTATCAAGAGTTTTAGTATTAAATGCACGTTTGGGCGAAGTTCTTCGTTCGAGAGATGTCCGTAACGATTTCGGAATTTGTGCAAATTAAGTTGCTTCTTGTGTTTTCTTTTATGTGCGTTTCGAAACTCATTAAAGATGAATCTGCATGTAAGTATCCTGCTACGCACTCAGCCACTGTCTGCCAGCAATGGCGAGCAATCTACGAGGGGCCACTTTATTTTATACTATAGTCAAGGGCCTCAATAAGCTTTCACACATATTTTTCGCTTTTTTTTTAATTCGCTTAGTGGGGGATGGAGTACAACTGGGTCCACTCGGCACGACGGCCACTGATTGGCCTATTGTAGCCTGCCCCCGGTGATTATGATGATGGAAAATTTGGTGGAATGAAGACTGACAGTGGAAACCGAGGTACTCGGAGAAAACCTGGCCCAGCGCCACTTTGTCCACCACAAATCCCACTTGACCAGACCCGGGATCCAACTCGGGCCGCCGCGGTTGGAAGCCAGCGACTAACCGCTTGAGCTATGGCGCGACCTTTATTTTTTGCTTCCTTCGACAGATATTAATGAAACGGATATGGATCTACAGCCTTTTACTTGGTTCCTTCCTCAAAAGCAAACATTGTAATTTACTTAAAAAAATCTCTCTTCATGGAGGATAAAGCACTTTCAATTTCAAATTCAGTTCTTACCTAGAAACTGTCACTACATTCTGGTTACTTATGAGAAGAGTGTGTCCGCCAACCAGGAAACCGCATGGCAGTCAATACTGCACTCTCGTTCAGAATCAAAATTAGCATCTACATATAATCATAATGTTATATTTCAGCATCATGTTGCATTGCGCTATGCTCTCATGCCATCTATGTGCAGCGTCGGTTACTANACATTCTGGTTACTTATGAGAAGAGTGTGTCCGCCAACCAGGAAACAGCATGGCAGTCAATACTGCACTCTCGTTCAGAATCAAAATTAACATCTACATATAATCATAATGTTAGGCTATATTTCGGCATCATGTTGCATTGCGTTATGCTCTCATGCCATCTATGTGCAGCGTCTGTTACTGTTCTCTTAGTCATTTGTCTTTATTGACTCTACATGTTTCGGCCTAACCGGCCATCTTTATTTGTATAGGTTGTTGTGATGAAGGAATCCGCTGCTCACTGAATTGTATGTGCTTCGGTTTTTTTTTCAATGGGTCTTTCAGCCTATTCAGGGCCCTAGCTTCCTATTCAGTTCGGTAATCATTTTTCACAGACGATAAGACTCCTTGGACGAGTGATCATCCCGTCGCAAGGCCGTTACCTAAACACAGGACAACACAAACACAGAATAAACGCATACACAAAGCAAACATCCATACCCTGAGTGGGATTAGAACCCACAATCCCAGCGTCTGAGCAAACGAAGACAGTTCATGACTTAGACAGTGCGGCTACTGTGAACAGACAGTTGCCTCGGTTTATTTCCACCTATGTGGGTTAACTTCAAATTTCCCCCAGACCATTAGGTTGTAAGAAATTAGTGTGGTGAAGGAGATTCGAAATATATCCCCGAGAATTTGAGGAAGCAAACTAAATCAATATAAGGAAAGGGAGATGCGAGAGGATTGCTGAGAGTACGTTTTTTTTTTTCTTTTTGGAATGTACAGAACTTGATAATGAGGAAGAAAAACAACTTACTCAGTTTCACATCCACATCAAGCTTCCTATTGAAACCCGGCACACTGGGATACAGCCTCAGGGTTTCCTTGATCACTTGTTCCATGTATTTCATTCTTTGCAGATCCTCAAAAGTCGCTGCACGATCAGAGTCCCCAAAGATCTCCTTTAGCTCTGTCACAACCTTTTCCTGTAACGAAATGACAGTTACTGGGCATTTTCGAAGTAATCTCTTAACAATACCGTACAATACAATACAATAAATAATACGGGACTGAATTCATCTGGCAGAAAATAGGGCCCAGTCGCTGAATTCATTAACATGATAACGAACTTTGACTTCGTCTCTTGACCATTTAAAGGTCTGTCAGCTTCTCAAGGACTTCTGCCCTGGTGTCAGTTACTGGTCGCTGGCTTGCAGCTCAGTGTGAATAGCGCCCCTGGCACAGTTTCATTTTCTACTTTACCTGTACGTCGGGATGTGAACCAAGGAAATACAGAGCCCACGAAATTGCGACCGCCGTTGTGTCGTGTCCCTGAAAGTTAACATACAGGCAGAATTGGTTACTGAACCCATTAAAGAGATGCAGACAGCTTATATACTGTCCAAATCTCTTTGAAGACACGTCATCATAAGACTATGACGTAGATACTTCATTATTAGAAAGTTCTCCCCCCCCCTTGGCACTACAGCCCCAGTGGGCCTAGTCCTACTTCCATGAACTCGTTCACTTCGGTTTTTCTAGATCTTACACATTCGGTAGGAATCCTTGGGCGGGTGATCAGCTCGTCGCAAGGCCTCTACCTGTACACAAACACAGAAAAACGCACACACACAAATCGCTGAGTGGGATTCGAACCCATCCCGGTTTCCAAGCGAGCGAAGACAGTACATGCCTTAGACCGCTGGGCTACCGTGACCGGCTATTAGGAAGTTATTATGATTTATTTTCAACAAGCAATGGAAACCAAACCTTCCAGACCGGAGATCTCTTTGTACACACAGCACATTTCTGCTATAAAATTGTTTACTCAAAGTATGATGTACTCTCAGACATATTTTAGACAAAATGTAGACGCAAACACTGACGTATACTAACCGTGTTAGGAGAATGCGAGGCCTGACAGTGAAGTTACCAGATTACGTGTATAGTCGCAGGCAGCCCTCCCAAATGCAGTGGTCTCCTCCAAAGTAGACGCATCCTTCGACTATACATGAATCCCAGCGTTTGGGTCCAATTGTCAAAGAAACTGCAGAAGTCATTCTCATGAAAATTTCTGAACCCCTTTTATGGTGCCAAAATGCGATTCCTGTATATGATTCTTCTCTGTAGGGGGACAAGGTGAATAAACGGTGCATTCCAGGCTCGTGGTTGATTTTATGCCAAAAACTTCTTGACGGGAAGTCGTGTGTGAGGACGCGTTGCCTTCTTGCAAGAGCCATTTGTCGCGGAACATTTCTGGCCCACACACGACGAACAAATTTTCCGAGAACTCCGAGTTTGGAGATAAATCTTCCGATTCACGGTCTTATCAGGTGGGACAAATTTTGATGTATTAAGTCTTTGCAGTCAAAGAAAGAAATCAATATCATCTCAATCTTTGGTATTGAGATCCACGCTTTTATTTTTCTGGGGCGGAACGAGCCTGGAGATTGTGAGTGCATGTTCTGCCGTTTCTCTTAGAATTATGTTGAGGAAACCCAGATTTCATCCCAGTGGTAACTCTGTTCAGGCATTCGTCAGTCCCCTCGATTCGTTGCGAAGATCAGAGTAGATTTCCTCTCTACTGGAGTCAGCCACTAGCGAGATTTCTCAAGGCAAGTTTACTACTGTGCATACCACAGACATATGCCTACAGGTGGCAACACTGCAGAGTGATTTATTATTCGTAGTGTTGCTGGGGTAATTATTTGTCAGTCCTCGTAGACCTAGAAGGGTCTGAAGTTGTCATGGCAACTGCAGTTCCACACATGTGTTGGACTTTTTTGAGGATTGGAAAATAGATGTTATCATACGTGTTAGGTTTCGGCATGTCTTTCCTTTGTTGCTTCATAAGTTAATGTGTTGATCATTTTTTAATTCATATTGCGGCCCGAGTCATAAGAGCCCCGACACATATCGGCTTCGACGAATTCTCCGTAAGCAGGTCGTGGATGCCCCTCATCTAGAAAATTTAAAAATGTAATAATGTGCTCTCATAGGACAAAACAATTAAGCCCTCTTCTCACTGGTCCTAATAAGGGCTCTTAAGCTACCTTTCTGTTCTATATGGCTCTAATCAGACCTGTTTTCTAATAATTTCCTGTTCACAGTTCCTCCCTAACCTGACAGGGCAACCCCCCCCCCCCCCCAGGCCTATGCTTCTGAGTGGCAACGACCAGGCCACTACGACTAAGCCACATCTTCACTCCATTCATTTCGACCCTAAGGGCAGCGGCAGAACGTTCCTGCGAAGAAGACTACACGGTTTCACAACACAGAATACTACGGAAGACACTCATTACTGAGAAAACCTAAAATCTCACATAGTACTTAAATTAGTTGTTGGGTTTGATGACGTATTCATATGCACAGATATGGC